CATCATCATCACCACCATCGTCACCACCATCGTCATCATGATCATCATGATCATCATCACGATAATCATCATCATCATCATCATGATCAACATCAACATCATCGTCATCATGATCACGAAAAGCATCACATAATCTTTATAATAAATTATCTATTAGGTATATCCAGTACGTGATGGGACTCATCTCGCCTAAACTTCCACCATTGTTCTACTTCACTGGACCTAAAGCTACCGCTGCTAATTGTCCTGTGGAGATGGAACCTCACTACAACCCGTCTAATGGTGCTATGTATTTCAAACCAAGCAATGCTTTCTGCACTGTACCCAGCTATTTTGGAATGCCCTTCTTTCTTAAGCAGTACGGACCAAAGTTCCAGGAGTGGTCGGTAACGGGGCACGAGGCACGACCAGGACATCATACACAAATGCAAGGTCAGTGGCGTGTTTCTAAAAAAAACAACTTGTCATCGCTTACCACCACCGCAAGTACTGAAAGCATGTGAAGGCGCCTCTGGCAGCCGCTATACAGTTCATGTAAGACACCGGAGCACAGCTCTAACCAGTTTGAATTAGTTAGGGTTGATTTGAGAGGAGGGAGGAAAAATTGGAAGGCCAGAAAAACCCTTGGAGTCAGAAAGAGAACCAACCAACTCAGCTCGCTTGGGGCGACTGGGATTCGTACCCCATCTTCAGAGGTGAGAGGCGAGCGTTTCACCACCACGCCATCCTGACTCCTCTATTGGAACAGGAGCATTGAACTCCTACGTGATTTAAGAAAGATGATCCTATTCAAAGTCATTTGGATATATATGATTATCAATATACGATCCATTTTTATTATAAGCCCTGTCTTCAGATTGGTCCACGAATGATTTAAATACCCTCCGCTTAAATTAACTACCACTTTTCGCAAGAAATCGGTCAAGAGCACGCCTAGTGTTTCGTAACCCTCCTGACCCATCCTCATAATCTGTGTTCGGTGATGGCACTTTCTTCTTCGATGGATTCTTTTGCGTGTTTGGTTTTGGCACACCCTTGCGTCCTCTTACGGGAAGCATATACGAATCTGCAAGCAGGATGCAGGCAAAAGCACCCGACCACCATGACACTTCGCGTCGTATAAACTTACGAACTGGAGTGTTGGTCTCTATATCTAATTATGATAACAATGAGGTATAGCGGATATAAAATTATACTGAATTCGCCCGGTCCAGGCTCAAGAAAAGTACTCAACTACAGGTAGCCCCGTAATTAAAGCTTGATTCTCTTTAATTCAGGACTTTTAGAAAACTACGAGGGCTCGTGTGACGATGATCCTGAATGGCTAAACAAGCAAAACTACTACATCGCATTCCAGGAAGGCTGGGCTTTGTACGCCGAGAATCCTCTGCTGTCACGTGACGTCAATTTGTACCAATCAAATCTGCTGCAAAAATATGGGATGTTGAAGTGGCAGGTAAGTGGTCAATTTATTGGGATTGATGATATCATTTTATGATTGGATATCAATATAAAAATATCAATATCAATACAAAAATATCAATACAAAAATTTGATTAATATTTATCGTATTTTTATTACCAGTCATAATCGCTCATTTAAAGGATTTCTTTCAAACCACACAACAAGCTTTGTATTTCAAACGTGAAAATTCGCTATAGAAAGCATGCGACCTCGTCTTGGGCATGACTACTTCGTGTTTTAATAGATATTTTACTTTACTTCGCCTGATTTCGGGGGTAGTCGTTAGCCGAATATACCGGCGTAGTGTACATGCTCGAAGTACGATATTTCCTCGAAGTGTTTGCCGACAGATCGATATTTTCTCGATATTTTCGTATAGATCGATAATTCCTCGATTCGTTGACCTCGAATCATGGAAGAGTGAGGGAGAATTTGATTACTTCCGCCATTAGTACGTTAACAGATCTATATCATTTTATTGTTTCGTATGGTTTGATTACTTTAGCCATATTATCGTTCGTATATAAATTGTTTTTCCAAGTTCGCCGATTTTACTTCCCTTCCTTACTTACTGAACCAAAGCCGCCGTAAATTGCAATTGAATCGGTGTGAGTTAGCCGTGCCCTCTGGCTTAAATCAGCGCACTCGGAAATTGCTGTTTCAGGATTCCGGCGAAAAAGTAAACTCATATATAACGAATATAACATCTTAAGTTAGTCTCATTGAACAATCAGTTTTGGCATCGAACTATTTAGTAAATGGCAAAGTTTTGGCTCGAAAGATGATGCTATTTTTCCCAATGTAAGCGAATCCGGCAATTATAAATTACTATTTTTATCTTTATGTTTAATGGCGTCTTTGTCATTAGCTTACTAATTTTAAAAGCGTTGCCAAGGAAGCCTTTATATGTTTGGGTTTGAAACTTTACAAGGCTAGATGAAACCGTTGCGAAGAAACAGGAGACAAGAAAACAAGAATCGAATATTCTAGGTCTTGATAATTACGTATAGCCGCTATTACAGTACACGTTGATCGTATCATATTCACATATTCCGGCTTTAGATGGAATCCCATTTGTCTTACATGTTTCGTTTCGGCGAGAGAATAACAAAATTTGTGATGAATTGTTTTATTTTTAAGTCATTTTCAGTGTGAAAAACGATCGAAGAGTTTCTCGTGTGGAAAGCGAAGCGTTTTCGTATCTACACCTAACTATAACAAGTATATATATTTTTTATTTCAAGCGCAAAACATCGACAAATGAATGTGTTTTTTTTTTCAGCACGAAAATTAAAACAATCGATAATATGTGTTTCAATGAAAATAAATGTATGAAAAACCGTATAAAGGAACTTTTTAATGATCGTTTCCTTTTGTCTGCTCTCTCATGAAAACAGTCACTTAGCATTAAGAACGGAAACATATAACTACTTTGTCAGGTTGTAAATATTTTGTTTCATTTAAATGTACGTCTACTTTATAAACCTCTCACACTGTGAAGTTGTCAATGGGAAATGTTTGCTTTAAGCATTGAATAACGACAAAGATGGTTTTCTTTTTAAGTAGGTTACGAGCATTGCAAAGAAAGAACACTACAAAAATTTGTTAAAATCTTTCATCTCTTTTTTCTCTTTACATAACATTACTTAAAGTGTTTTTTACTTAGATATCTTTGCTCATATTAGCGTTTCGTTCATCTTATTACTCTTTCTCATCAACAGTGCAGGGTCTTTGGAAAAAAAAAAACGCTCTACGAGTGACATAATTAAGTACTCTTTGATGTCCTTCGTATTTCGCTTGAAAACAATCCAACTTCCCCGAGTTATTTGTTCACCAAATGTCTTATACTCAATTCAACGAGCGGTTTCGAGCTCGAGCTTCTATATCTTATGACTTCAGTTGTTGATTATTGGCTTTTTTTATTATAAAGTTCACCATTTTGAACAAGGAAATTCTCCCCATTGCGTGGAAAGACTCAAGACAATTAATAACATGAAGTCTAAATAAATAAATGAACGAAGAATTAACGAAACACATCCGAGAGCTATAATAACTAATATTTACACTAGAATTTCCGGATTAACCAATCTGAGTCAAACTTGGAACTTTAATCACCCATCTCATTCAAGTGGCGTCATCATTTTCAAAGGGTTCTCAATTATAACTAGTTTGTTTAAGAATATCAGAACGGTTTGAAAGCTTGTTTGCAAAGAAGTTGACCTCGTGCTGGGAAGAGCTTTTTGGCTTTTGATTACTTTTAGGGTTTTGTCACTTAATTTTGCTTTATTTGTTCGTCTTGAATCGATATTTAAATCGAGTTTGTATTTTCTTTTCTCTTTAGTACATTTTGGATAAAAAAAATAGCAGCGTTTGACAGAAATATTTCTTTGCTTTTCGTTTTCTTTTGTCAATTCTCTCCCATTTTCTTTCATTAGGCCTCTGTAACTCTCCGCCTCATTCATCTCTCTTTCATTTTTGTTCTTTCATTCTTTTATTCTCCCTCTCTAATCCTTCCTTCCTTCCTCTCTTCCTTCCTTTATTCTTTGTTTTTTTCTATCAATAACCCCGCTGATCAAACAAACACTCAAGTCAAGATTTACCTCAATAACCTTAATCATATAATACCATATTTAATTCTAAATCCAATAAATATATAACACCACAGAATCTGATCTATAAAATATATTGCGTTGATGAGAATGTCTGACATGTTGTCCATCATAACTCGTAAGTCGATATTGGTCTTTATGGCTACAAATTTTCTGTTTCGACGTTCTACTCTTCATTTTCACAATCGACGCCATCTCGCTAATGCATTCGTTAGTTTCCGCAGGAACATAATCGGACATTTAAAGGAACAAATCCCCGATCTTTTTTATTTCTTTTGTGCTTTTGTTTTATTTTTATTTGATTTTTATTTAACTCGCTGATGTTTGTTCTCAGAAATACATTTTGATCTGAGTATAATTTCAGTTGTAATAGTATTGTATTATATTTGTTAGGAGGCTTTAGGTTTGCATTAGATTTTAGACAAAGCTTCTGCCGGGTTCCGGACAGATTTCTCAAATGGCATCTTGTATTGTCTACCTTTGACTTCTATCAATATTCATCGATTCATTATTTTCCTTGATAGCATTTGTAACGGGATTATTAGACTAGCGTTTTAGGATTGTCACGAATAACGATCATAATGAATAGATCTTGAACGTCACCGTACTATCGACAACACACGTCCAGCAAAAACGTCTTCAGTCTTGGACGCAAGGGCGCTCAACCTTACAGCTGGCGACTCAAATACTGCGGAGTTAATTCGTAAAAGTTCTGTCATCTTGCAACCTGTTTGGATCATATATATATATAGATATATATGCATATATGAACGTTCTGAATATTAACTTAAAGTCGCAGACGTGGTTTGATAAGTTGAACGAGAAGCGCTGTGCCAGACGCCAGTGGAAACTATACTTATCACCTGCTTTAGAACTAACTTAAAAATCTGGGTTTTTTTTGAGAATGGAATTGATAGTCTCGGATATCGTACTTCTAGTCATATCAGGTTTGGTTGTTCTGGCTAACGGTTTCGTTTGCGGCTTGGTCATCACTCGTAAAAAGTTGCGAACGTATACGAATGGGTTTGTCGTGTCTCTGGCCGTGTCTGATATCTTAAGCGGAGGAATATTCATGCCTACTTCGGTCCTCATACCTGAATCAAGGATTAACGGACATATAGCAATGGTAGTCATCGCTTCAAGCACGTTGAATCTTAGCGCGGTTGCCTTTGAACGCTACCTCGCTGTCGTCCGACCATTAGCCTACAAGATTACGATACAAAACTCTTTTATTCGTCTGGTATGTGCAGTTTGGAGTGTTGCTACTGTAATGTCCATTCTCCCAGTCATTTGGGACGCAAAATCCAACCTTTTAGTGCACAAAATCTACTTATCCTGTGCGGTGGTGTTATTTCTTGTCGTTCCTCTTATATTCATCTTCTTCGTCTATTCTTTCATCTTCATGAGGCTTCGCCGGCATGGACGTATCCTCCGTAATCTGCAAGCGACGAGAACGCGACTTGACGAAGCTAGAAGAAGCCGCCGTGAGTCCAAAACGGTGAAGCTGTTTTTTACAATACTGGCAGTTTTCGGTGCTTGTTGGATACCGGTGATATATATGACGTTTGTAGTTGTTGCTGAAAGATTTGACCTCATCCCCCTATATCTACCAGTAGTTTCGCACTTCAGTATAATGGTGTCTTCATTTGTCAACCCGTTTCTTTACACATTCATGAAACAAGACTTCAGGCAAGAGGTTACCTCTCTTTTCTTCTGTAAACTGTTTAGGCGGGATTCGGGAGAATCGCGTGAGGCGACGGGAAGCATTGTTTTATATACAAAGGCTTGTACACCTTATGGAGGCAACGAAGAAAACGTATGAGAAAACTTAATGAAACAAAGTTTGAACTAATCTAAAAGATTCCAAACTTAGACAAGTGGTTCTAGAAGCTTTTTTCCAAAGAAACAAATGAACATACATAAATATATGTATAAAAAACACCGAGATATCTTGCCATAGTTAGTGTATAATATAGTCTTACCAGCAGGGAGTAAAAGAACTAAAAGCATTTAATATAAATAACACTTTTAGAATTTCCCTTCGAATACGCCTTAAGTTTTAAGTAGAGGAACAAATGAGTGCAAATTATCGAATTTAAATATTCGAGTCGTTCACACGATCGCTTAAAAGTCGGGAATCAATAGATTTGCATGTCGCATCAGTTATTAAATACGTAAGATTTCTTTTCTTTTATGATGTAAAAAACTAGTTTAAAATTTGACGACGAAATATAAACATGTTGGTCATCTCAATAGGTTCGGAAGACTAAACCGTTTTTTGAAATCGACCTTAAATTCATTTAAAAGCTATAAAATTAAGATCACTTTGCTCTTTTTCAAGATCTTGCCTTTTGATCTCTTAATGTTATATTCGGTTGTCGTACCTGTTCAGATTTTACTTATAACCACTTCGAAAGCCAATTACGGTAATTAATTTTGATGAAGAGTCTTAGTAATACCGATATTGCTATTCTCTTTGAAAAACATAGCAAAGAGCGTTAAACGACTTCAAGGTGTGAACAATCTTCTTCGAGAACAAGATTTATTTGTCTACATTATGCGGTTTTAATCGAAAGTTCTTGCGGCCTCTCGGTTTTGAGAAGGATATTACACCGTTTAATCCTATCAAACTACTTAATTTATTCCTTAATTTTATTTCATAAATAAATTTGTTCACGTAAAGCAGCATTCCAGAACCCGTTAAACCGCACACTATACCTTACCGCAAGTGATCGGTAACTCTAATTTTCAATTAAAAGAACTTTCTACTTCGGTCGAATTTGAAGCTTTTAAGATCAATATAAGAACTTGCTGATTGAGTTCGGAAGGAAAAAAAGTCCAGAGCTGAAATTCGACTGGATCATGGTTATGAAGACAATTAACAAGATGACGCGAAAAGCATAGATTTGTCGGCAACGTCAAAATTGGTTTGTGCGAAACCGATATTCTTAATTAATTAGACTTCCTTATTCAACTAAATCAGAATAGTGCAGATAGATTGAAAAACGAGGATTAAAACACAGTTTGTCAGTAAAATGCTTGGAATGTCTTCATTTATCAGTTTTTGGAGTATTAATTATAATTATGGAAATTTGGGAAGATTTAGATTGACCAATGAGAAGACGCTTTGGATGATTACGTCATTGTTTTCAAATATTCACTACGCGTTTTTTGTCATTCCAAAAGAAAACCGAATGTTTTGAATTTGTTTAAATTTACTTAACTTTGAAACCAATTTTAGACTTAGTTTCTCGGAGCATGCCTCTATTAAATATTTCTTAAAAAGATTTTTGAGATTTATTAATGTTCCAGTTTCGAGTTCTCTGTTGCTCAGGGTTAGCCCCGATTTTGTGCAGAATATTCATGTGTTCCAGTGAAGGTCCGTGATATTTCAAAGTGTTTATACAGTTGAAGTTGAGCGCGCATTAGTTACTTTGCGGTTGGTATTTGTGAATATTTAGACACTGATACGAGACTAACCCTGAGTAAGTGAGTCTGTAATCAAGGAACACGCGGTAATTTGGAAATCGAATTTCACGACAGCCATGGTTTGGCAGGGTAGGAAGTTGTGAAGGGCGCGTCACATAGTTGTCTATGATGACGTAATGTTTTTAAAATTTGTATCTAAATTGTCAACCTTAGATATATTGGAAAATCCAACAAGGCCAAAGCCAAGTGTCAAAACCTATTGGCAAAGTTGTTGCTTTGCTCGAATGAAAAACTCGTTTGAAGACACTGAAGAGAGGGAGGTGGACTTAGTGCAAGTCTAGATGAGAAACGATGTTGATGTAGGTGTACAAATATGGCGTCACCTATGAAAGAACAAAAATGAATCCACGTCGAGTCTTCGGTGCATCGTACATATCGAGAATAAATATATTCATCTATCTGTCTGTCTATCTATCTGCGACGACTCAAACGTACACCCCAAAGTCAGTACACCTGAAAGTCAGTACATCTGCTTTAAAACGCAAGGGTTTGTGACAGCTATGTTAAAAGGCAAATTCAAGCAATTGGCTTTTCAATTTTGGATAATAGATAAAAACTTCTACATGAAACTTTTTTTTGCATTTTTCGCACTATACAACAAGGCTGCAGCGGTGAAACCACTCTACCGATTCTCCTATTCAACCCGCAGTTTTCCCATTCAAAGAAAATATCAGAGTCATTCGAAAACCGAAAGAAATATGGACGCTGAAGACAACCATCTTTAGTGCCTGTGCTTATAGCTACTACAGGGCTCAAAGTAATCAGGGATGTACGCTGTTGTGGATGGTGTCCTTGTCTTAACAGGAAAAGTTCATTAATGAAATAAAATAACATACGGGGTGCTAAAACTGAATGCCTGGCTGTCAGCAGAACAGAATGTTTTCAATATGGACCTAATGACTAGGATATATATAATAATAATAATAATAATATATGATTGGAAAAGGCTGAACAAAATATTATGGTTTATCAGGTTAGTTCCGAGAATCCTCATTGATGAATCACGATATTTTTCGGAAAGTAGAATTCATTAAGCGTTTTGTTTTATTATTTCAAGGATGTTATTGCTTTTGAGTATGTTTTCCGCTACTTTTTTTCCTTTTAAAGTCCTCCATTTCCTGGTTTAAAGGTTTCTAGCTGCCATGTTTACGTCAAAATGATTGGTTGTCAATGCGCATGCTCCAAGTGTTTTTGTGTCCTGCGCATGCGTAGATTGACTGTGCTTAAGCTTTATGTCTTTATTAAGTTATATGTAACTAAGGAATGGGTAAATTTATCCAATCTATTCGTGACCACGCGATGAATAGATCCCAAAGTCTATTCGCTTCAACCCCCTATCAAGCCATAGAATCGTATCTTTTCATCTGATATACAATTCTAGTTTAGTTTTAAATGTTATTTGTTAGAAAGATTACACAGAAATTCAGACTTCTCGGTCCAGCTGTTTTACTTGATTAGTTTATTCAGAAGTAATAACATATCAAGCTAACAACGCCGCTAACTATTCAAAAGACACGGTAGGACTCAATGTGAACACGCGTCAGGTTTCCCGCCAAAAAAAAAAAATTTCCGCCAAGAAAAAGTGACAGATGTCACGGATGTTCGCCGTCCTATAATTTATCATTTCCGCTTCTTACTGAAAAGAAAGACACATTTTCTTGGTGGTTTTTCATTTATTAACGTTTTTCCCTCTCTTGAACGTAGAAAATACTTTATTGAAAATGTACAATTGCCAAAACGAAATTATTACTTCACTTCAGAGTAAGAGCACCAGACGTTAAAGGGAGTACTTGGCCTTGAAGTCTATAGGCTTTCCGCCAGCGTAGGTGGCCGGCGAGTGGGTTATGAAATTCTCCAGGAAATTATTTATGAAGAAAGGAAAAACATTTGATTTAATGGGGACTTTAGATTCCCAGTCGACAGATATACTTTGACAAGTGCGAAACTTAATCGAAGTCGGCCGCAAAGTTAATGAAATTCCAAAGAGGTCTGTGCATAATTGGGTTATTATTCCCAGTAATTTCTATAGACTAGCAATATATTGCTTTATCTTTGCATTGAATTCGGAAAATAACGAAGTTAAGACAATTTAAAGTTTCCAGCGGGTAAGCTTCGAGAATCGTCCATCAATGGATAGGTAGTTGTTGCTTTTTATTTGCTTGTGGCGAATTTTGCCGCGATAATCATTGAAGGGGGCAGTTAAACTAAGAATGATTTAAGTTTAGTCCTCTCTGTGTTTTCTAGAAGGTAAAATCATTAGTGTAATAGGCAATGAGTGAAATTTCAAGCGATGGCGAGCAAAGAGCGGAAGACGGAAATCTTAACGATAATAAAAGGAAATCTTAACGATAGGAAAATCATCATCATTATATTTATAACGAGTATATAACCAGCCCGCAAAACCTGGAAGCTTCTTTTTCTTAATTATTTTTATAGAAAGTACTCATTATCTCAAAGGGCTGTCGATCTGAGCCAGCCAGCCACTAACGCACACTCCACTTCACCCTTGATAGAAACTGAAATGCCCCAATCTATCCAAGAAATTACGGTCGGTTATGGCTTCATAAACGATTCTATGAATTCCATGCTATTGCACATTTTCTATAGTTTAACGACTAAAACTCTTACCAGCGCGCCTAGTGTCTCAAGCGGATGTCGTAAACGGTAAGGCACGCATCAAGGTATTCTGACCAGCGGTGTTGCACCAAAATAGTGCAACGTAATTGGCTGAAAGTATTGTCATGCCATTGCCAGCATCATTGTAGATGTGTTCACATGATGTAAGTCATTGCGCACATCCATTTCGTATATGACCTTGATCGATTCTTTTTTTGCCAAGAATTAATGAGCTGCGCGCAACTGTCGCAGAATTTGAACACATTATGCACCATTGTGAACCGTTCGTTCGTTCGTTCGTCCGTCCGTCCGTCCGTCCGTCCGTTCGTTCGTTCGTGAAAAATGACACCAAAGATGTAACATTTATTCAGTAAACACTGCAGAAACCCTTTTTTCTTATTTCCAACGTCATTTACTAATAATAAGCCTGGTCATCTATTAATATTGTAGTCACTAAAGCGTTTCGAAGTCCCATCCAACAACCAAGCCGTTTATGATAATAGTATGAAAAATGGAGAATGTTTGCACTGGTCTCATGATAGTTAATTAGTGAAATAGTAGATATACTTCAACTTGATTAGATAGGTATCTAATTGTGTGCATTCATTTAGAGCCAGATAAGGTAAAAATCTTTCCAAGTTTACTCGAAAATCATAAAAACATCAACATACCTGTAGCATTTTTGATGTGGTATTAAACTAACATAACTAAACGATTTCGCAATTTTTGTTTTTGTGTGGAAATTTTCAAGTCCTTTAAAAAATAAAATTTATGTAGTTTCTAAAAATAAATATTTTTTTGAAGAAGATACAAGCTCTTATAAAAATGTGAATGATTCAAAAAGTGGCGACATCATTTCTGACGTCATTATTTTTTTTACTCTTTACATAAATCAAACTTGAAAACCTTCTTTGTTGAAAACGAAAATGATACTTAGAACTTGAAGGCCTTTTTAAAAGCCATGGTGTAAATTTGGATTCCGTTTTCTCGCAGTGAATTTATTTCACTTATCTATCTGGTGGTTCATATCACTTCTGTTGCCACAACAACTGATGTTGTTGCAGACACTAAGCAAGGCAAAGTGGAGGGAGTGCGACACGAAGTTGAGGTAGACAACAAGCAGGAAAAAAATGTCTACAAGTTCCTCGGGGGTTAAGGAAACTTCATAGTAAATTCTATTCCGAAAACTGAGTCGCAACTTCCATCAACTTGTTTTCATTGTAAATCCTGCCATTTTTTTAAAAACCACCGAAGTTAAACGTTTTGAGATGCAACTTCAAACTTCTATTCCTCTTTCGATCTATAACAATTGAATAGTGCCATATATAAAGATTTCCTTGATATATTTATATTTGACTAAGTTAGACATTTTACTCATTAGCAGACAAAATGGTTGACAGCATAACTTCAAATTTTTGTCTAATCTGTGAGATAAAGAGTTTATTTTTTATTAAGTAAGTCATCGTATACAGTATTTTCACCCTCAAATTTAATCCTCTTGTCACTGTGTATCACGTTCGTGACACGTTCGTTGCCAGTAAGTTCTTATTAAGGAGCCCTTTTATTTACGCGCCACGAAAAAAAAAAATTGGTTTTGAGATAAACATTTGGTTGGATTTTGGGTTTTTTAGAGTTTTGAAAAAATTTGAGTGAAAAAATCAAAAAAAGAAATCATGAATCGTGCACCAGTGCACGGCAAAAATTAATCAATTGATTGTCATTTTGTTTTCTTTATATTCCTGCATTTATTTATTCTGTCTGGATTCAATGCGCCAACGTTCGAGTTTTTTTCTTATTGAAGTGAACTGAAGTTCATCTTAAAACGTATCAAGATTATTGCATTAATCCTCTTGAGAAAAGTATTTCCGTGTTGTATAGATCTGCCCACCAGTTCCGACGCCATAGCTTTTGAGCAAATGCAGCTTGTACGT